GAAAAGTACCAACCGTGTGTTCTTTCAGATTGTGTGTATATTGCAAGCGTCCAATTTAAAATCTTTTCTCGAGTTGCACTTTCCGCCATGAATCTCCTTTTGTTTCGATTTAATTAGAACTTTTCTTCTCCAAAATGAATCCTTCTCTCACTTGATTCTCTTTTTCTCTTTGTGAAATTTCTATAAAAGCCTCTGCATTTTTTTTCTGTGTATAAACAATAAACTCAAATGACAAAAAAAATTGCATCACTTGAAGTACATAATTATGTAGAAATATAACAAAAAAAAATCGGAATCGTTATAATAAATCATTAACTTAATTTTATAATGATTATTATTTTTATTATTATATTTAGTAAATTAATTTAAACTGTTATTATTTATACGAAATACATTCACATTCATATTCATCATTTCTTCTTATAGAAATCTACAATTTTTAATTAATTATTGCCTGCAAGTTACCATGGCAACGCATGAGAGTGAGTGCGACAGACTCTCTCTCACACTCGTGCGTTGCCATGGTAACCTGTTGGCATTGAATAATGGTTAAAGTGCCGCCATGACAGTTTTTAGTAGTTCTTTAAGGCTGCAGTCCCATGGCAGCGTTTTGCGTTGCGTTTTGTCACTAGACCGTGAGTGTAAACATAGCAAACATATATCTGCATCTCTTTTACACTCATGGTCTAGTGACAAAACGCAACGCAAAACGCTGCCATGGGACTGCAGCCTAAAGGATTAACCGATTGAAATAAAAAATGTTTAGAATTTGAATTAAAATTTTTAATTAACATTTCGTGCATAATATTTATACAAAAGGGAACACAGAAAAAAAGGTCGGTAAAGAGTTGTAAAGATAGAGGATAAAAGTCGTTAGGATACAGGGTAAAGGATAAATTTATGATGGATAAAAATGTTACTAAAATATTACTAGAAAAATGGATGTCATATTTAAGTAAACTGTCTAATTTTAATAAAAATATTAGTAATTTTACACTTAATTTATTAAATCCAAAAATTTTATATAAATAAGTAATTGCACGTGGAAATATTTTTCCTAAAATTATTGTCTATTAATAAAAATATCTTTGACTATTACAACTGACAGCTGATGACAGTACGTAAATAATCAGAACTGGAAAATTACAACTCAACGTCTGTATTGTTGCACGAAAGCAGAGTTGGGTAGTAACTGAATTTTTTGAGCATATTATGCTGTGTCAGTTCATCGAGATATTTCGAGTTCAAGATATGACGTCAGAGGCCTGGAGGGACAACAAACAGACGATACAATGTTATTCTTACGGAGAAGAAAATTTGTTTCCACTTTCATCAATTTTATTCATACTTTAAACACGGAAAACGCTTGTTGACATATAATAAAATTAAAATGTGTGTTGATAATTAATTTTGTTATATATTTGATTCATTTGCATTGATAGATTCTCTGAATTCGTGATAAAATATAAATATTGAGGTTAGAAAATTTTGTTTACTAATCACATTTTACATTTTAACATTACACAGGCACACAAAAAATAAAAAGTTGTTTGGCCGAGACACTACAATAGTCTATTTTCATGTATTTTTTCACGCTGAATCCGAATCCGAAGTCAGAATTATCAGATTGGCTCTTATTTTTGAGATAAACTCAAAAAACTGCTCAGAAAGAAAAATAAAATCAAAAAGTTAAAAAAATTTTGAATGTCACTGCGATAGTGTAATTCCATGTATTTTTTGTCGCTGATTCCGAATCCAAAGTCAGAATTGTTAGATTCGCTCAAATTTTTGAGATAATTGCAAAAAAACACAAGTAACAAAAAACTCAAAATACTCAAAATCAGTTTTTTGGAATTATCTTTAAAATTTGAGCCAATCTGTCAATTCTGACTTCGAATTCGGATTCAGCGTGAAAAAAAAAAGAAATTGCACTATCGTAGTGTTTCGACAAAAAAATTATCTGTGCCCCTAATTCAGAATTTTTATCAGTTTTTGGCGATTTTAGCTCAAAGAAATTTTTTTTTGCCGAAACATTACGATAGTGCATTTTCATGTATTTTTTCACGTTGAATCCGAATTCGAAGTCAGAATTGACAGATTGGCTCAAATTTTGATGATAATTCCAAAAAACTGATTTTGAGTATTTTGAGTTTTTTGTTACTTGTGTTTTTTTGCAATTATCTCAAAAATTTGAGCGAATCTAACAATTCTGACTTTGGATTCGGATTCAGCGACAAAAAATACATGGAATTACACTATCGCAGTGACATTCAAAATTTTTTTAACTTTTTGATTTTATTTTTCTTTCTGAGCAGTTTTTTGAGTTTATCTCAAAAATAAGAGCCAATCTGATAATTCTGACTTCGGATTCGGATTCAGCGTGAAAAAATACATGCAAATAGACTAGTGTAGTGTCTCGGCCAAACAACTTTTTATTTTTTTGTGTGCCTGTGTTATTAAACAATATCCAGTATGCATGTTATTAAAAAAGATATAAAATATATATTTTAAGTGGGAAAATTACCGCAGCAGTAAAAGATTTCAAGTTAGTAAACAAACACCCCTAACCTCAAAATTTATATTTTATCACGAATTCAGAGAATGTATAAATGCAATTGAATCAAATATATAACAAAATTAATTATCAACACACATTTTAATTTTATTATATGTCAACAAGCGTTTTTCGATGAATAAAATTTATGAAAGTGAAAACAAATTTTCTTCCCCATAATTTTAGTAACATTTTTGTCCATAACAAATTTATCCTTTACCCTGTATCCTAACGACTTTTATCCTCTATCTTTACAACTTTTTACCCACCTTTTTTTTCTGTGCAGTCCGTAACAATTCGATTCTAGGTCGATCAAAAAACATAACCTAAAATGAGTCTGGAATAATCCGGCGATTGTGTCTAAGAAATTCGGTATTAGCAACAATAAGAGTCTTAATCTGTCCAGTAATAAAAAATAATTGGGAGTAAGCGAAAAGAATTGGGGATGACTTAAGCTCAATTCGGTTTCGTGTCTAAACCGAATTGTTACGTTACGGTGAATTCTTTTTTTCTTACCTTGAATTCTTTTCATCTGAATCAATTGAATTTACGTTTATTAATTCGAGTTGACATTATAAATGAAAGAAGTGATTGTTCTTAAGTGTAAAAATGCCGATTACGAACAGGAAATATGAAATTTTGTTAAATTGTGAAAAAGATAAATTTGACAGGCAGGCTGTATAGTGTTGATCTATTACCATCCCAAGCAGCACGGTATATCCCCTGAATATCCCTTGAATACCACCGTGGAATATTCCCATGATCTTCTAGGAAAATCAAAATGTCCGCATCATGGGAATATTCCACAGTGACATTCAGGGTATATTCCAGTGACATTGAGGGTAATATTAAAGAAATATTCCAGTGACATTGAGGCTAATATTAAAGGAATATTCCAGTGATATTGAGGGAATATTCCACGGTTATATTGAATTTTTTTTAAGTGTTGAAATAATAGAAATGTGTTATAAATTGTTATTTGAATAAGCAGGAAGATTAAAAACACATTTAAAAAAAAATTCAATGTAACCGTGGAATATTCCCTCAATATCACTGTAATATTTCCACAATATCACCTGAATATCCCCTTAATGTCACTGAAATATTCCATGAATGTGACCGAGGAATATTCCATCAATGTCACTGGAATATACCCTGAATGTCACTATGAAATATTCCCATGATGCGGATATTTTGATTTTCCTAGAAGATCATGAGAATATTCCACTGTGGTATTCAACGGATATTCAGGGAATATACCGTGCTGCTTGGGATATGATTTAGGCTGTTTTTGTGGTTCGCGCTGTATGCATAAGTGCATCTTTTTAGAAATAAAGGTATAGGTATTAGAAAAAGTTAACTTATTCACACAGCGTCCTCAGCGCGAACCTCAAAATCATATGGTAAGTCATATGATAATAGATCAACACTATGCTTCTACCTGTCAAATTTATCATTTTCACAATTTAACAAAATTCCATATTTCCTGTTCGTAATCAGCATTTTTACACTTAAGATCAATCACTTCTATCATTTATAATGCCAACTCGAATCATTAAACGTAAATTCAATGATTCAGATGAAAAGAATTCAAGGTAAGAAAATAAGAATTCACCGTAACGTACGTACCAATTCGATTTAGACACGAAACCGAATTGAGCTTAAGTCACTGCCAATTTGATTTTGCTTACAATTATTTTTATTACTGGGTGGTATAACATCTTAATCCAAAATGAGTCCGAAAAAATCCGCAATTTATATATGTACAAAATCATCATTGTTGTGGACTAATACATTTACATTTTCAATTAAGATTTTAGACCTGCTCTACCTAAATCCGGATTTGTTACACACAGATTGCCTATACTAATTCGGATTCCTTTCTGATTAAGATTTTTGTTTAGACTGTTTTGATCTAACTAAAATCAAATTGTTGTGGGCTAATTGTGGATTTATTTTATGCTAATTTCGGACTATTCTGGACTGAACTCGGATTTATCTTTTCATCCAGATTGATTGCTGACTAATAAGGATCATTTTCTGATTGTTTTCATACAATTTCTGTAGACTAATCCGGAGTGATCTGTCTGCATTTTATCTGAAATCAGTCCGAAATTTTAACCAGGGTCTACTATTCTCAAAGAGTAAAATCCCAATGAAATTTTTTTCGAACAACAAAATAAAAATTTAGAACCTATACTCTTAGGAATAATTAAAATAAAATTAAACTATACTAATATATAGTAATTTAAAAATGACAAGAATGCTGTTATAATAGGTATAAATCTCGGGCTTTTTAAATTAAAAGATAAGTGCAAAATAATTCTTGAGAAAATTCAGTAATTTATGATATCATAGTTCGGATAATAAGTAACTTGTTTTCCTTGAATTTAAAATAATATTTTGCTTCCTTGTATGATGTATCAATAAATATAAATCGCGATGTACGAACATATTGTGTGTCATAGTCTTTTGAGTTTTGTTCTTCTCTAGAATTTGATAACTTTGGCTTTACTTAATTTTTTTAGAATTATTATAAAAATTTTAAGATTTAATTTCAAGATTCTTCCATTTGTATTTAACAATGACATTTTTTAGTCAAATTTATTTTCCTCTTGTCATTCTTTCTCTAGTTTCTAGTCACGGAACAGTTGGAAATCCAAGTGAACAAAGTGTAAGGCACTTTAATTATCTTTTTAAAAATTAATAAAGGATCGGTATTATTGGATAATGATTTCACTATTGCGGCAGTTTTAAAATAAATTGAAGTTATTTTCGATTTAAATATTTAAATAAAATTTGAAAAGTATACCATTATTATAGTTTCAAATCTAATATAGAAATAAACAAAACTTTAGAAATTAACTCTTTTAGGAAAAATCTTGTCCGGAGAATATGATTCATATACCAGAGTCTGAGAATTCAACGGAGATAATTTGTGATTGTAAACCGAAATTTTTATATCATCGAGACAGCGATTCTTGTCACGAAGCATTCAAGAGAGGTCCTTGTCCTCCTGTACATTATTTTGTACTTCCATCTGAGGATGTATCAGCAAAATGTGTGAAAAATCCGTGTGTCGACGATGGACTCGTTTATTATCAAGGAAGTTGCAATCGACTTGGACATAATGGATCACCCTGCGAGGATGATTCAATTTTATTAGATGTCAATGAAATTAGTTTTGAACTCGAATGTAAGCCAATATTATTTTTCAGTAGTCGTCTCAATGTACACAAAAATTCCAATAATAATTGTCCTCGAGGTAGTCGTAGAATTTATTCAGGAAAATGTAAACACATTTTTCAATAAAATGTAATTATAATTGTATTATTTAAATTAATGTACAAAAAAAAAAAAATAAAAATACAAAAAAACGTAATTCATTCGATTTGAGTTTATTAATTTACCCTATTGAGAATTCCTTGGATACGTTCACGTAACTCTCACTCTCACTCAAAAATTTTTCAATTTCACTCTCACATTCACTCATAAACTTTTCACTCTCAATATCACTCTTACTCCAAAAATATGATAAATTGAAATATATAAAATCTAAATTTGAGGTTCATTAAAAGTAGAGTCAATTGAAATTTTAATCATTTAAATTTAGTGTGGATTGAAAATTTAATCAATGTATTGTTTTAAGAAATTAAAACTTGAAATTTTGTATTTAAATGTTCATAAAATGATGCTTAAATTAAAAAAAAATTTACAATATTGTTTTAATAATAATAATTATTAATACCTACAAATTTCAACTAATTAAACTTTTAGAGATTAGATTGTCACCTTTTTACCTTTGACACCTTTTATAATTTTTGTCTCATTTTTCGTCTACTTCGTTAATTTGTCACCCATTTCACTGATTTTGCTATTTTTTCAGATTTTTAATTTTAACATATTTTTAATACATGTTAACAATTGTAAAATTTTTTTTAATTTAAGCATCATTTTTTTAACATTTAAATACAAAATTTCAAGTTTTGATTTCTTAAAACAATACATTGATTAAATTTTCAATCCACACTAAATTTAATTCATACAAAATTTAAATGATTAAAATTTCAATTCATTCTACTTTTAATGAACCTCAAATTTACATTTTAAATATATATTTCAATTTATAATATTTTTGTAGTAAGAGTGATATATCGAGAGTGAAAAGTTTTTGAGTGAATGTGAGAGTAAAATTGAAACATTTTTAAGTGAGGCACAGTGGGGCAGAATGCATAAAAAGTTGGCAAAAAATGAAAAATTGAAAAATTTTATTCCAACTTTTAATTACATTATTTCAATAAACAATAAGTCAAAGTTTGATGAAATATATTATTTATCATGGAATCTTCAAATTCAGGTATTTAATTATATGATAGAAAACATAAAATCGTATTTTATAATATTTTAATTATTAAAATTCTTAAAAGAAACGAGCTTCTGAAATTCAAAAATTGAAAAAATTTTCTGTAAACAGTAATCATTTTAGTTATGTTCCAAGCTAGTCCAAGCGTTAATTCTTGAATTTTTTATTATGTTTTGATTCCAGGTTTCTGAATCTGCTTGAACTTTTTGCGAATATTTGCGATTTTTCGAGAAAAAGTGATTTTATTGGACCCATTGCAAAATACAGAAATATATATTTTCAATAATGAGTGTACTTTGTTTTAAGAAAATTTGTTAACCTTTAAAAATTAAACTTAATAAGATTTTGATTTTAAAATGTTCTAAATTATTAATTTTATATTTAAAAGTTTATAATTGAAATTTATAAAATGGGATAAATAAATATTCTTACAATTTTCGAATTTTTTTGTCGCATAAGTATTTTTAATTTAAGTAAATATTTGTAATTAGTGTAGAAATTAAAAATAAATTATTGTAATTTTTATATTAGGAACGACTTCAAGCACGCTTCATGTAAAGAGAATAGAACTCGTTGAAATAATCAACCGTTCAAATAGCAGTAAATTCGATGAGAGATTTAATTTTTTAACTGAAGAGATAATAAAGCGAACACAATGTGACGGAAAGGATATTAATAATTTAAAGCATTATTTATCTTATTTTAAATCCCAATATCAATCTCGTTGATTTTTTCAAAAAATATCTGCCATTTTGTATCTGCTATTTTGTAGTTTTAAAAAATTGACTTTATATTCGTAATCAGCGATCCTAAAAACACACGAATATCTAGTTTCAAACGATTTCGTTGAAATTTAAAAAAAACATCCACCATATTGGATCCGCCATTTTGAATTTTTAAAAACTGACTTCATATTCATAATCAGCGACCCAAAAAACTTTAAGATTTTTAATGTCAATAATTTTCAATGAAAAATACATTTAATGCCAACTTTTTTAACATAATGCCCCACTGTGTGAGGGTGAGATTGAAAAATTTGAGTGAGACTGACAGTGAAAAATTTTTTAGTGAGTGAGGGATGATTAGGCATAATGCATTGGATAATTGAGCAAACAATTAAACATATAATGTCATAAAAGTGGTAAAGATTATTAATATTTAAAATTTTTTTATAATTTTTAAAATAAAATTACCTAACACACTTTCTAAATGAAATTTAAAAAAAAAGTGCAAACTAAAATAGTCGAATTTCATTCTCGTGACAATTTATTGTCAATCTCACGAGAATTCATTACAAAAGATGTAAATTTACATATATACATATATATTGATATCATTATTTTCTATTTTATCTTATTGAATGTGCAATGTTGTTTGCCTTGATTTTTGACGAAGAGAGGCGTACGACATAAGCATCTTGTAAAATCGACAAATATAAAATGATATCAACAGTAGATTCTCAGTCTTTTGCGAACATTCATCGGATTATCCTTTATTTAAGAGAAATAATTATTATCTGTTAATTTTTTCGTACCTACTAAAATAAAATGCAATTAATTTTTCAAATTAGTTTTGGAATTTTCATTTTATCACAAATTTTAGTTGCTGAAATCAATATACTGGTAATTAATACAGATATAATTTTTTTATTTTCTTTTATAATTAATTTCTTTTGGCAAATTTTAGAAAAAACTAAATTGTGCGGATCAAAAGAACCGGTTATAACTTTTTTTAAAACTTTGAAATCGTTGGCCTCTGAATTGAAAAAAAAGTTTTCATTAGTTTTCTGAAAGTATTTATTTTTATCAAGAATATGTAAAAATACCTAACGGAAAAATGAGATTCAAATTTAAATTTATTGGCCAGTAATTTTTAGTTTAAAAAAATTATAACCGGTTCTTTGATTGGGACCCTTAATTACCTTATAACTAATGCGAAAATAATTTAGGTTTGAATCATAAACAACAAAATGTAATATTAATTTTTTTGCTTTTAAAATGCAATTTTGTAAGTCATAAGAGATGCTTTTATAAGATATCAAATAAATTTTTAAATATATAAATAAAAGCGTCAATTTTATATAAATTGTGTTAAGATAAAGTTGAATAAATAGATTCCAAATAATAATTTCAGTTCTTTTTTAATTTAAATCTTCGTGTACCGGCTACTGACATTCAATGTGTGATTGTAATTTAGGTTTATGAGAAAAAAATAATTATTTTTCCAGATTCCACCTGATGAGCCATGTCCAAAAGGATTGGTATTCTATCCATCGGATGAGAATTATACGACACTAATTTGCGACTGTGTAGACGATTGGCTACAAATTTATCATCCAGATACTGATTTATGCTACTATCCATATACACAAGGTCCATGTCAACCTGGATATTACTACGTGTTACCAAAAGGAGAAGAAGTTGCCAAATGTGAAGAAAGTCCCTGTGATGAAGGCTTAGTTCCATACGAAGGTGGATGTTACAAGCTTGGAGTTTCAGAGCCTCCATGCAAGGCAAATGTAACTTACCTGACAATTGAATTGCTCACTTTGGAAATAAAGTGCTTGGAACCAATGGGTCGAGTTGCTGGTTATGTTCACACAATTTATGGTGGAATCATCAATGCACCACTCAAGGAATGCAGAAAGGGAAGTCGTCGAATTTTCTCAGGCAAATGTAAACGTGAATTATTCTAATGTTCTTGAAATTTTCTAAAATTTGAAATATTTACAGTTTTTTTGAAGTATTTGGTGTTGCAAAAAACTGACAAAAAGAAACATTTTTTCTATATTATTATTGTAAACTATATTATGAAAAATAGTTACAAAAAGCAAATAAAAATTCTAATTTTCAGAGACTAGATCGGCTATCACATCCTATTTAATCAATTTAAAGGTTTATTAACTTAAATAACCTGCATATAGTAGATATTATGTTTAATAATTGTAACAGGAAATATTATTTTAAAATATTAAACAAAACTTTTTATATAGTCGGCTAACATATTAGAAGACTTGGGCGAATTTTGTTAAGGGTTGATCCCTGATTGTTGTCATAGCAACGGAGCGTGCGCGAAAATTTTCGCCGACAGAGTGCGCACGTACGATGGAAAAATCATTCCTGGATCAACCATTGTAAAGAGTGATATCGCGATAAAATATTTTATATTATAATAATTGTGTGAGTATTCCTGATTGCGGAGGTACCTTATCGTTTGGATAGAGTATACTGTATACTGTAATTAAATTTCCGATTATTAAAACCAATTGTCGACAACGCTGAGTTTTTATTATTTAGGTTATTTCCATTTTACCCCTCCTTTTCTTGTTAAAATACTAAAGTAAATGTTAAAATCAATTTTCTCTCTATATTATAAAAAGATTTCGCCGCCGTTTCAGTACCCCTTTGACCTTGACCTTTGCCCTCAAAATTTAGGTCAAATTTAAGAGCAGTTTTGACCCTTGACCTTTGACCTCCTTTGCCCTCAAAATTTGGACCTTTGGCCTTTGACCCATGTTTTTGACAAGGTTAGGTAAGGGTGAGCCAACCCATGTTTTTGACATGGATAGTACAATAGTTGGTTACACTTGAAATGGAATGACTCATATGAATATAGCTGCAAGTCCCTCCCCCTTCTCCCCCTCCCTGGCAAAAAATGACCTAAATTTTAAGGTTATGTTCGTTTCAAGACTCTGAATAGAGCAGCAAGTCGTTCCCCTTCCCTCATCTCTCTCCGTATTTCCCGCCAAAAATGACATAAATTATGAGGTTATGTTCATTTCAAGACTTTCAATATAGCCGCAAGTGGAGGTAGATTTCCTGCCAAAAATGACCTGAATTTAAAGGTTATGTTCGTTTCAAGACTGTGAATATAGTCGCAAGGCTCCTTACGTTGAAGGAGAGGTGTATTTTTTGCCGAAATTGAACTAAATTTTAAGGTTAATTTATTTTGTCAGGCAACGACCAAGAAACAAACATTACCTCAAAATTTAGGCCAAAATTTGGCGCAAAAAGACAAAGGAACAAACATAACCTCAAAATTTAGGTCAAACTTTGAAGAAAAATGACCAAAAAACGAACATAACCTTAAATGTAGGTCAAATTTTAGCTGGAAAATTTAAAAAATTAGATAAATTTTGTTTTAAAAATTGAAAATAATAAAAATTATTGTTAATTAAAATCGTAAATGACATTTAAAGAAATAAATGGGTCAATCCATTATATTTCGACTGAAGTCGTCGCTGACTAATTTTTAAAAATTATAATACTTTGCAGGAATGATTTTGAAGTTATCAAGATCACGAAATGAAAAGAATTTTATTAAAATTTTAATTATTTATTGCAAAATATGAATTTAAAGTATATGAGGTGCTGAAAACTGCCAATTTTTTAGCCATTAGAAAATATGCAAAAATACGTAGAATTTACCATAAAAATAAAAAATTTTTTTTGTAATTTACTAAGAATGAATAAATTTATCATTATCAATTGATGTAATTATTTAAATATGTGAAATAATATATAAAATATGATTTTCAAGTTCGCCTGTCAAATAACCTAAATTTGCAAATTTCATCTATAAAATGTGAGAAAGAGAAGTCATTAAATTGAAAAAAACCTTACCAAATATAAAGTACTTGTGACTAACTTTTAGTTTTTCTTAGCACTTTTTTCCTTTTTTCTTCATAAATGTGAAATAAAAAGCAATAAAAATTGGCACTTTGCTTATTTTCACTATTTTCAAATGTAAATAACTTTCTTGGAGAAAACTGAAAAATTACAAAACTTGGGCAATATCTAATTGATCACTAACTACACACACTGGAAAAAAATTCGCTTTGGTCCCGAAGATACTTTTTGAGATAATTAAGTTTAAACTTTTCACAATTTTTATCAGGTTAATACATGTAGTTTTTTAAGAACGAAGTTAGGTTTTATTGGTTAAACATTTTGAACTAACTTCAATTTTATAAAAATCACATGCATTAACCTGATAAAAATTGTGAAAAATTTAAACATAATTATCTCAAAAAGTATCTTCGGGACCAAAGTGAATTTTTTTCCAGTGTGTGTATTTAGTGATCAATTAGATATTGCCCAAGTTTTGTAATTTTTCAGTTTTCTCCAAGAAAGTTATTTACATTTGAAAATAGTGAAAATAAGCAAAGTGCCAATTTTTATTGCTTTTTATTTCACATTTATGAAGAAAAAATGAAAAAAGTGCTAAGAAAAACTAAAAGTTAGTCACAGCTACTTTATATTTGGTAAGGTTTTTTTCAATTTAATGACTTCTCTTTCTCACATTTTATAGATGAAATTTGCAAATTTAGGTTATTTGACAGGCGAACTTGAAAATCATATTTTATATATTATTTTACATATTTAAATAATTACATCAATTGATAATGATAAATTTATTCATTCTTAGTAAATTACAAAAAAAAATTTTTATTTTTATGGTAAATTCTACGTATTTTTGCATATTTTCTAATGGCTAAAAAATTGGCAGTTTTCAGCACCTCATATACTTTAAATTCATATTTTGCAATAAATAATTAAAATTTTAATAAAATTCTTTTCATTTCGTGATCTTGATAACTTCAAAATCATTCCTGCAAAGTATTATAATTTTTAAAAATTAGTCAGCGACGACTTCAGTCGAAATATAATGGATTGACCCAAATAATAAAATATTAATAATAGTTTTAAATTCCAGAAATTGTCTAAACATTAATTCAAACATCTACAAAACCAATAAAAAATAGGGGGTTGGCGCGCGCAGCCGCCCTAGTATTTAAAATAATTAAATGTTCACTGGGTTAAAATTAACAATATAAATTTTTATCACAAAGTGTTTTATTAAGAACTGTTCATATTACCTGACTGGCAATTTTAGACACATTTCCCCTAAAATTTAATTTCATTGAAATGTTTTTTTACAACCATTAAATGCTCGTCGAGTACCTGGTGGACAAGTTCTAATTGGTGCAGTTATGATACCATCACGATGTTGAAAAATGGGAAATGCTATTGAAAGCACACATTGTAACTGTGAAGTTTTTCCATCAACGCCTAAATAATGATTGTTAGGGCAAGGAGATCCGAATTTGTATAGAGGATAACAACCATCTTCAAAAGGAACAAGACGGTCATAAAGACAAATATTTTTTTCACACTTTGCTTCTTTTGCGCCTGGAGGATGAACTAAGAAATATTCTTCAGGACATGGTCCTTGTCTGTATGCTTCATGACAAGAATTTGTTTTTACGTCATGTAAAAAACCTGGATTACAACCACAAATCCATTCTGTCTGATTATCATTCGCAGGCACAAGCATCGAATTTTTTGAACAAGATTTTGATATTTTCTGAAAATAAAAATATATTTATATACTTTTTCAAAGATTTGGAAAAATTTTTAGCTGCTTCAATACAATAAAATTAGACTTCTAATATTGTGTTTTCAATATATATACCAATTTCAACATGTCGCCGACATAAGGCTCATCACTGCATTCTATTTGAAATGTGTTTCTATTGACAATTAAATGATGTGTTTGTACTTTACAGGGTATTTCAGATACCCAGAGTAAATAACATTTGCCCTGGAATGGAACAAGTCCGTCCAAAATGCATGGATTTTTTTCACATTTTGCTAATTTTTCGTCTGAAGAAAATATTAAGTAATGTTCAGAAGGACATGGACCTTGTCTGTATGCAGCGTAACAAGAATTATCACTAGAATAATTTAAAAAAGTATCCAGGCATTTGCAAATTGTTTCTGAATTGTTTTTACCATCATTGTCAAGTACCATATTCTCTGGACATGAATTCTCGTTTCTCTAAATTAATAAAATTTTATATAAATCTATAAAAATGCGATAAATCAATTATTTTTTAATTAAAATGGAATTTTTCAATTGGGTTAAGTCAGATAATTAGCAGTTGTTAGGGCATAAATTGAATAGAAATCAATTTTTTTTCATTAATTAGTATATATTAGATTTTTTTGTAGATTAAATATTTTGTTGGCTTTAAAGTAAGTTACTGCTTACTAAAATGTTATATGTTGAAAATGTCCAAGAAAGTTGTAAAAATGCACAGAACGGAATTATTGACTTCATGTTTTATTCACTTAATTGAGAAATTAACTGTTGTTCTAATTACACGGAAAATAAAAATGTTTTCTACTTAGTTAAATACTATGAATGTATCAAGCAACTGTATATCTCCAGTGACTGGATGCAAACTTAATGAGAAATGAAATGACAATATAATTCTATAAACTCTGTTATAAAGTTAAACATGTTTTTATTTCAAGGAAAACCAGTAAATAAATACATCCGAAAACGCATGACATATCCTTAGTAGTTTAGCTTTCAATTTTATAAATGCTATCTATATTATATTGTAATGGAAAAATATTTCTTGACGTTATTTCGAGAAATAAAATTATCAAATATCCTAGAATAAGGGTAAATAGGGTCAATAGTTTGCCTCTGCGATCTTATATCGATCATAGCGCTAATAGTTCAATATATTGTCGCATTACCAAAATTTACTGGTCCGTAACTTTTTCCGGATTCCAAATTCCAGATCCCACTTTCAAAATTCCGTATTCCATTTTTCCCATTCCGTATTCCACTTTTAAAATTTCGGATTTCACTTTTCATATTTCGTCCCAGATAGCACGGAAACTTGCGGCAAGCTTACCGTGCAAGCTTGTCTGAGCTAGCGAAGTGTCCCACCCAGGACAATCTTGCCGTGAAACCTTGCTGTAAGCTTTCCAGGAAAGCTTGCTGCAATCTTGCCATGAAAGATTGCTGCAAGCATACTAAGAATGATTGCGGCAAGCTTGCCGTGAAAGATTGCTGTAAGCTTGCTACGTAAAGTTGCAGGAGAATTTCAACAAGCTTCTGGAAAGGTTGCTGCAATAATAAATATTATTATTAAATTAACAAATGTTTAATACATTTAAAAAATTTTATTCATCTTTTCAATAAATATTTTCATATTTTAAATAAATTTGATAAAATATAACAATAATAACATTGATTAATTAACAAATAAAATAGAAAACACAAAATTTCTATTTAAAAGCATTTTGAAAAAGCCCGCCGTTTTTCAACTGTTTTTCAACTCATAAAAACAGTCGAGGGTTAAGAGCAAGATTTTTTTATTCTCTGATAGTTGGTCGAGTAGGTTCTCGGTTAGTGTCTGTCGAACCCGGGTTCAATTCCCAGTCCCCTCAAATTTGTTTCGAAAATTTTCTCGTTAAGTTTCCAAATGAAAATAAACAGGACATAATTAATAATAATAAACGTCACAAGGATTTTCAAATTTAGAAAACAAATAATTTTTTTTTTTAATTTAAAATGTATTTTTTTAAAATTGCAGCAAGCTTGCAGCAACCTTTCCAGAAGCTTGTTGAAATTCTCCTGCAACATTACGTAGCAAGCTTACAGCAATCTTTCACGGCAAGCTTGCCGCAATCATTCTTAGTATGCTTGCAGCAATCTTTCATGGCAAGATTGCAGCAACCTTTCCAGGAAAGCTTACAGCAAGCTTTCACGGCAAGCTTGCCCTGGGTGGGACATTTCGCTAGCTCAGACAAGCTTGCACGGTAAGCTTGTCGTAAGCTTGCTGCAAGTTTCCGTGCTATCTGGGGTATTCCAAATTCCACATTTCGGATTCCATGTTCCAATTACCACATTCCGGATCCCACTTTTCACATTCCGTATTCCTTTTCCACATTCCGGATCCCACAATCCAGATCCCACATTGTGGATTCTATTTTCCACTTTCAGAATGTGGAATCCGGAATGTGAAAAGTGTAATCCGGAATATGGAATCCGGAATGTGGAATCTGAAATACGGAATTTTGAAAGTGGATCCGGAATGTAGAATACGGTATTTTAAAAGTGGAACCCGGAATGTGCTATCTGGAATCGGGAATTTTGAAAGTGTGATCCGAAATGTGTGAAATATGAAATGTGGAATACGGAATGTAGAATACGAAATGTGGGATCCAGAATGTGGGATCTCGAAAAAATTACGTAATTGACCCCTGTATATATCCACAATATATTTTCTTGACAAATATAAGATTTTAAAATGATTAATTTAAATTGTCACATACTAGGCAAAATCCAATTAACTATTAAATTTAACTAAATACACGTTTGCAACCTAGAAAATGTCTTCGACTACCTGGAGGACATGCTTTCTGTGGAGGATTTATAATTCCAGGTTGTTGTGAAGTGGATAACAATCCTCCTCTTAGTTGGTATATGTTTTTATTCTGTTTTGGCAGTTTGCTAACTACGCGATCATACTGTTTTGACAGTTGACTAAAGTGAATACACATTAATTGAAAATTATTTCTGCTGACTGTTAAAACTTGAAATTCATCAGAGCATGGAATTCCACTTTTGTATATTCGATGACAATTTCCTTCGAAAGGCACCAATCCATCATCATGACAAGGATTTTCCTCACATTTAGATTCATTTCCCGATGGAGAAAATATAAAATAATTCCCTTCCAAACAAGGACCCTGCCTGTATGCTTGATAACAGGATTTATTTTGTTCCGAAAATATAAATGTTTCTTTACATTCACAATTGTATTGCGTATTATTTTCATCCACTGGAATCATATAGGTATTCTCTGGACAAGATTTTGAGGATTTCTAAAAAAAAATGTAATTATATTAGATATAAGAATAAAATAAAATAACTTTAAAAAAATTTGCGGTATTTTTTTTTTTTATTTACCAAACGATCAATGCTGCCTAAATATTTAGAACTGCCACATTCAATTTGAAATTCTTTGTTGATTCCTAAATACGTGTTATTATCTTTGCAAGGATTTCCGGATTTCCAAAGAAAGTGACATTTTCCATTAAAAGGAACAAGACCATCAACATCACAGGGATTTTTTTCACATGTTGCTAATGCTTCTCCTGGAGGAAGTATAAAGTAATGTCCAATTGAACAGGGACCTTGTCTATAGGCATCGTAACAAAAATTATCCGAAACATGATAGAGAAAAGTATCTTTGCAATCACAAAATTCTCTTCCTTCTTCAGAAAAAAATTTCATATTTTCTTTACATTTTATAAACGAATCCTAGAGATAAAAATAAATTTTTCTGTGAATTATATTTTTGTAACAAAAGTAATAAGAATTTTAAAAAATAATTTTAATTATATCTCTGGTAAAAATTTCTATATAATATTCTAAATTAAATTAATCAATGAATAATATTGTATAGTTAAAATTTATTGCTTACAGCAGAAATATTGAAGACATTGTAGATAAGCACAAAGAAAACACTGACTTTAAATAATATTTTCATTTTAACTTTACACTTAATCACAATAAATTCAGGTAAATGTTTTACACAATTTCTTAGTGAAATAACACTTTTAAAAATGAAGACAATCTTTGTAAGTTAATTTATATTAAATTATTGATAAATACTAGTTTTTGTGATTTATACATATCATTTAACAGGTTGTGATCTTATGTTTTGTTATCACTAAGGTTTATCAATTACATCTACAAATAGTTTATATACATAATTATATAATTCTTAGAACTCATGTTCTATTTGATATTTTTTCTATGTCAATTATTTTGCATAATTATGCGTTAAATAATTAAATTATTTTCGTGTATTTTTTACAGACTAATAAAAGTAATTTTAACCCTAATAACACAAAATATCTTGGGATATATTGATAATATCCCGCAGATATCCTAGGGATGTCCTTTGGATATCAAAAGGATCTCTTAAGGATATCCAAAAAATCGGCCTAAGATATCCTGGGGACCATTCTAGGATATCGACCATTGATATGGATATCCTAGGGATATCCTTTTGTTATGAGGGAATTATCAATTTTGATAAATACTTAGAAATATTTTACAACTCCAGATCCCGCAGTATGGACCATAAATGGGTAATTTATAACTTTTTAAAAAAGATAAATTAAAAAGAAATCAAAAATATTTTTTTCGAGTGTTTTTTTTTTTTATTGAAAAACTTTTTTGCAGTCTGTAATTACTCTTCGACTTCCTGGAGGACAAGCTTTTTCTGGAGCATTTATAATTCCACCACCACCTGCACCCGAAGGTGGACGATAAATGCATTTTAGTTTAAATGTTTTTGCCGTGACTGTCAATTGAGTACGAGAATCAGCACAAGGAGGTCCAAATTTATAAATTTCATGACAATGTCCTTGAAAAGGAACATAACCATCTTCTTGACATGGATTTCTTACGCATCTTGGCTCTTTTTGTTCTCGAGGAAGTACATAGAAGCTTCCTTGCTTACATGGTCCCTGTCTGTATGCCTGATGACAAGAATTATTTTTTGCCGAATAAATATAAGTTTCTTTACAGTTACAAATGAAATTCGAATGTTCATTATCTGTTGGTTCTAGATAAGAATTATTTGGACAGTTCTTGGATATTTTCTGAAAAGAGTTATATTATTGATTGAATTATATATTTTTTAAGAAGATTCTTATTCTATATTCAAATTTATTTTCCCTTTATATTTAAGAGGGGTTGTAATTTTCGAAAAATCGATTTTTTTGCATTTTCTTAAACTATATGTTTTTAGAAGTTCGTCTTTAAATGATCCGGTGAAAAAGAAATGAGATATACAGGAGGCATTTAAATTTTAAATATTAATTTTAAAATACTTTTTTCTCGAAACATGGACACTTTTTTCAAAATCGATCTAAACACCAAGGATCCTTATCTTATATATTTCCTAAATCCGAAAGATTGTGCGAATCGATACAAAAACGCGATTGCAAAACAAAAAGTAGGAAAGTAAGTACAGTGGCGACTTTGTGCTCCCTGCATGCTTCTGCCATCTGACGGCGGCAGAACGTAATAAACCTGTCATTATATTACTTTCCTACTTTTCGTTTTGCAATCGCGTTTTTGTATGAATTCGCACAATCTTTCGGATTTAGAAAATTTATAAGATAAGGATCCTTTGTGTTTTGGCCGATTTTGTAAAGTGTTTTTATAGGATCAAGTTAAAATAACGAAAATCAAAATTACCAATTCAATCCAGCTACCAATGTATCTTCTGTCACTGCACTCTATTTGAAAATTATCATTGATTCCTAAAAATAAAGTTTCGTTTTTACAAGGATGTCCTGATTCCCATAGAAAATGACATTTTCCATTAAAAGGCACAAGGCCGTCTATACGACATGGATTTAATTGACATGTTGCCACATTCTCTCCAGGTGATAATGCGAAATAATATCCTGATGGACAAGGACCTTGTCTATAGGCGTCATAACAAAAATCATTTTCAGGATGATATAAAAATGTATCTTGACAGTCACAAAACTGTTTAGTACTATTTTCACTAACTAAAAAAGATTGCATATTCTTTGGACATCGTAGAAAATTCGACTGTAAGAAAAACGTTTTTTTTTTTTTTAATTTTAATTAAATTTTTTATCTAAATTTTATGTTAAATTGATAGAAATTTTTGAATAATTCTCTGGATATGCTTCATTCAAATTAATTGAAAGACATAAGAAAATAGTTTTTCAGATTCTGCATTATTTTTTAATGAAATCACTCTATCGACTAATTGCCAATGACCCGAAACGAACTCAACTGAGCTTACGTCATTGGAATAAAATAAATAAATTCTCAAAACTATATATTTATAACACTTTTATTTTTAAAAATGTTTTAAAAAAAACTGAAAACGAATTGTTAACCTGTAATTAATTACTTATTTTTATGTTCAATTAATTTAAAAATAAAATGCATAAAGAACAAAATTAAATTAATTTACTCACAAATAATTGAAATATATTTTTTATTGCTTACTGGATTTAAACTGCTTGAAATTTGGTAGATGTGTGAAAGAAAAACACTAATTATAATCAACAATTTCATTTTTATTTCACTTGTTGACAAATAGTACCTATCAATTTATTGAAAGATTTTATTTTGTTAGTGAATGAAACTTCAAGAAACTAAATACCATCTTTATAAGATCATTTATATAATAACGAAGACTCATCAAATCAATTGGAAAATCGTTTTCTTCATTATTCAAGAAACCGGTTTGAATTTATCCGAAAAATAACAGAGAACAAAATTATTTAATTGTTTTTTTTTCATAATTTATACACTTTTTCCAATAAACTTAGTGTTTTTTCTTTGAATAAAAGATAAGACATTTATCATTTTTCATCTTGTAATATAGTTTTACAGAAAATAATATTAATGTTTTAATAAAATATTACCTGTATTTCTCTTTTTCATTAATTTTTAAAATATTTAGAAATAACAATTACAATAAAATTATAATAATTTATGATTTATTATTATAAAATCTTAGTATTTATAATAAGTGTTTTTAATTTTTTATATGATTGTATCCTGATACAATTATGACGCATCATGTGATGTGTTTAGGAGACGATATTTTAATACAATGTTTGCCGTGAAACTTCTATAATAATAATTTTATTAGTGTCTTCCCTATTATGAAAAATAATTATTGGAATAATTAATAACAAAATTATTTGGATATTTACTGGAATAACTGTTAGATTAATTACTGGAAAGTCCAGAAATTTTTTCCCCAGATGTATTTTTTTAGTAAAACAAAATTTTTTTTTTAATTTCAATGGAATTGTAATTTTGGGTTAAATATATTTCAATCATTTAATTTACAATAAAAATCTATTGCCTAGACATAGAGGAGCTGTAGAAATAACTTAGTCCGCAACAAGTTAATTTTTAAGATGTGTATGGCTAAAAAATTACTGGATGAGTTACCGCAATAATTAATTCAGTTGTTATTCCAGTAATTAACACAGTATTTATCTCAATAATTATGCTAGTAATTAACTATAATAATCTTGGTATTCATTCATTCATTCATTCATTCATTCCGTCCGGACCCCTGCTGGGTTTTCGGTGACAGAGAAAAGAACAAGTTATGGAGAGAAAAAGGTATATCTTTATTTTGCAAATGAGGGTTAGCTTGACCTGCAATCTGTTAAGAAGGATTAATTAATAACTCTGAGGACCCTGGTAATTATTTCTTTCTCCCTTTATCACGTGAAAAAGCTATAAAGAAAGTGTAAAACTGAATAGGTAACGCATACCTTTCTTTCTTACACCAAGAAATATAACATAAGTACTTCTTTGTTTAACATTGCGTTTCTCTATCTAGACGATTGAAAATGGCATAAGAACATCATCGTCTAAAATCTTAATCTTCTTTCATTTTTGTTTTAAAAATAAAAAAAAAATTCATTTATATGTATATATGTATGTAGGGGAGAGTGACAAACAGTGGAACACTTTTTTTCAAAGAGATATTAATATGTCAATTTTATATATTTTTGGACACTTTTTGGTACTACCATAAAATTTCAAGTTTTTGGAACTTGATACATTTTTCTTGTTTTTAAGGTTTGTGTTAAACAGTGGGACACCTATTATTAATTATTAAATAATGAATAATTGTTTCAATAATAATATTCTGCTTCATACTTTGTAAATACATACATATATATGTTTTGCATTAAATAACGTTAACAAATGTATCAAAACACTCATAATTTAATAATATTTTAAATTTTTATAATTTTTTATTACATTTCATTATGTACTCCGAGTTAATCTTCATTAACAAAGGTTCTATTGGCCAAGGGTTGGTACATCTTTATTTTTGTATATAATAAATGTGAAAAAAGAAATTATTACCTGGGTCCTCAGAGTTAATCCTCATTAACAAAGGTTCTATTGTCCAATGGTTGGTTCTTTTGTGGTATTTGTTCCGGGGTTTTAATACAGGTATAAATACGTATATATGTCATTTATAATGAACTACTGATTACTCATATAAGAGTGTCCTTTTTGCACTTAGTGGCTGATCAGTAGTTACTGATTCATAGTTACTTATAGTTCTCTCATTCTTTTGGATATTTGGTAGTTTTATTGGATAAAAGGCAAAATTAATTATATTGGATTAAAGTAAAAATTGGTTATATTGAATTAAAGGAAAAATTAGTTATATTTAGTAAAAGGTAAAATTAGTTGTATTGAATTAAAGAAAAAATTGGTTATATTTAATAAAAGGCAAAATTGGTTATATTAGAGAAAGTGAGCAAAACGGTTAAAGATATTTAGATTTTCATGCATCAAAAATAAAATTAAACGAAGTATAATATGGCCAACATTAAAGAGTATGTTATTTTAAGTGATAAAGATTTAAAAATTATTGAAAATAGAAATAAATTGTTAAATTACATGCATATGTACAAATATGAAGATTTATTAAGAAAAGATTCCAATTCTTTTTTTAATATGCAAAGTGCTTTGTATGTACAAATTCTTGATTTTATTGTCCCAATTAGAGACGGTGATAAACATATTTAAATACTTTTTAGCGGTAATAACAATTATGGTCACTGAATTTATGTCTATTACTATAGAGTAAGGCTTTATATTTTTGATAGCCTTAATAAGGGGTGTTTAAATGTGCAGCAAATAAAATATTTAATTAGATTGTTCCATTTTAAACCAACAGTAGTTTTTGAAGCTGTTGATCAACAACCTTTTGGTAGTGTTGAGTGTGGAGTACATGCAATAGCATTTGCAACATCTATATTATTTAACGTAATGCCAAACCGTGTAAATTATGAAACTGATAATAACAAAATGAGAAACCATTTTAAGTCAATGTTTGAAAATAATTACTTAAATCATTTTCCGACAGTAAGAACGTCTCACAATAGGAATTCGATAATAGAGAATGATTAGAACCGTCTTTTCATAAATTGAACTCAGGAACATAAAAATTATATTTTAAACTATTGTTCTGTTTTTAATACTTTTCCCAGTAATAATATTAACAGAGTTCTATTAACACAAGAGTTAAAAATTAAACATTCTTTAAATGACACTAGTGAAAAGAAAATAATTCGTACAACTTATAATACTGTGAACAAAATTTTACCACATGAATATTTAACAATGAAAACTTTTCTGAGTAAAGAAAATGATAAAAAGATAAATCGAGCAATTAAAGAGAAGGGAAGAAAAAGGAAGGCAAGGCGCAAAGTTACATATGAGCAGTAAATAATAAGACAGGAGAATGAGAGATTGAGAAAACGTAATCGTAATAAAACAGAAATAAAAAAGAAAGAGCGCAAAAAAAATTTGACATGCAAAAAAAAGAAATTATCTATAAAAACTGAAGATGGAAAGAAAATACGCAAGGATAAAAATTTGGCATGTAGGACAAGAAAAATATCAATGGAAACTCAAGATGAAAAGAAAGTGCGTCAAGAAAATAATTTGTCATGTAAGAAGAAAAAATTTTCTACGGGAACGGAAGATGAAAAGAATGTGTGAAGAAAAGAATTTGACATGTAAAAACGATAATCGGAATAAAAAAAGTGCAGGAGTTGCAATAATGTCTTTTGAAGATTTAGATGAAAGTAAAGTACCACAGAATTATTTAGGTTTAATAAATGTAGAATGTAAGTTTTGTAACGCGTTACATTTTTTGTGTGAAAGACCGTAACATAGATACATCACGGAGGAATGTCCCCGTGAAAAGGACATTATGATATGTTAATTATCTGAGCCAATAATGACAGCGCGATTCTGATAAAAGATATTAAAACACTTTAATGAAATGAAAAGAAACTTGTTTATTATTAGAAACATTAAAAATAGTACAAAAGCAAAAAAATACTCTCCGTGCGCACTCGTCACGAGACAAAACAGTTTTATAGATAAAACAATCGTAGTACAGAAACTACTTAGCGACGACAGCGCCATTGGCTGTTCAGTAAACTGATTCAAACAAATGACAAAATACTAAATTGCATCTTTTTCAACATGATATCGCCTGAATGTCACAAGAATATTCCCAGTTGATATCAGCTTGACATTCAAGGAATATTCCGTGCTACTTGGGTGGTAGATCCAATATAAAGAAATTTTTTTTTACATTTCTAATATTAAATTTTTTTGAAAAAAAATGAATAAAAAATATGGTTAATGGGTAAGAATTCCTGAAGTGGCCCCCTAATATTTTTTGTGTAATAGAAAAAAGTGATACCCACATATTTTGGTAGTCCATGATGTCACTAAGAAACCCCTGAAACGATTTTTCAAAATTCGAATTTTTTCATAAGTTATAAACAATTAAACTTTTTTGCAACGTTTTGGAAAAAATTCTGTATCTGGAAATTGGCCGAACCGATTTTAATAAAAATTGGTTTGGAGAAAGATTAAGATACGTACTTTTGATAAATAAATAAATTATGAATAAAAAGTATAATTTGTTTAAACAAATTATATTGTTAATTTTTAACTTTATAAATTAACAATGTTCTCAATCGATTTTTCCAATTTTTTTTATAGAATCATAAAAAGGGACTTTTCACGATTCCATGACAAAAATAAAAAAGTGGGATTCTCAAAAACTTTAGAAGATACAGAATTTTTAGTCTTAACGCGCGCGAGTTTTCTGAGCAGCTCACGCATACGGCGCGCCATCTCCCGCGCGCCCCGCGCCAACCAAGACTCCATATAAGAGTTCCCGATTATAATATTTTATTAACTCAATTAAACTAAACAGTTGTTTATATGTATTTTATTATTCATATCATTTTTGTTTATATTTAATAATTTTTATTATTTATAAAATTTCTGTTTATAATAAGTTTCTGATTATTTAATTTTAATGATAAATTTTCAACGTTTTTTAATTGTTTTGTTTATGTATCAATGAATAATAAAATATATTATTATCCTTTAATTTGTTGATGGCTGCTTTGCACGAAAAACAAATGAACTGTCCTATTAAATTTTTAAATCTATAATTCCACGAATTAGGCACTTTCACAAGATTTTTATAAACTGCTTTATGTTCGTTTTTTTTCAACGGGTTGCAGCAAGTAGTTGCTTTTGGCATATTTTAAGATTTGTTTTTATAGCACATACGCGAAAAAGTAAAATTTTTAATATAC